TTATCTGTGTTTAGTTTATTGCACTTTAAATTGATTAGATGTCATTTGTTAAGGCATCGCTCAACAGCGACCTCGCTTCGTATACTCTATCATTTAGCCTCGATCCGGGAGTATGACGTCCACATAACGGTTAATCTCCGCTCACGACGCCATTTAAAATTAAATCAGTCAACGAAATCCCGTTTAAATCCAAGCTGAATCCAAGCCATCTGTGGGTCTACAGAGTTGATTTTGTGCTTGTTGTGTAAATAAAGATCTAATTTATAATTTCTATGACATCTGAAGCCTAAATAAAGACTTGCAATTATCAGATTTAGCTCTTGCATAATGTATGTTTAAGAAACAATTTTGACTTATTAGATTTGTCTTTTCGTTTTGCTATAACACAACAAGTGTTAGTGTTGTTTTTAATACATGGATTAATTATATGTTTTTGCGTTTTGGTTAGGTAAGTTTCTGGCCATCGAGAAATGTTTTATCGGAGCATATGCCAAAAGAATTCAAAAACGAGTTTCCAAATACATTTCCCATCCTTGATTGCACAGAAATTAAAATACAGAAGCCAAAGTCTCTAGTAGCTCAGTCTCAAACCTATAGTGATTATGAAGGAATTAACACTTTGAAGGGACTTGTAGTGTGTGACCCTAGGGGGTCAATTATATTTTGTTCAATGCTTTATGGTGGTGCAACATCTGATAAAGATATGTTTAATATGAGTGGATTAAGAGATACTTTGAAACATTTGATGGATATTGAATATTTAATACCGGGTGATGGTTTAATGGCAGACAAGGGCTTCAAGATAGAACAAGAAATTGCAAGTATTTCATTGAAATTAAATATTCCCCCATTTGCTCACTGTAATGTCCAATTACGCATCTTTTAATCTAGCAGACGAAATATTATATGCAAGGGAGCTTTTAGAAAGTCTGGATGTACTTGTCTTCATTAGTATACTATAAATTTATGTTAGGTTAATCAAGTCTACTAAAGCTTTAGTGTTGCCTAGCAACTTCACTTCTGCAGGGTGTTGGTTGCAGGTGACAATAAAGTTTGATGGAGAGTGGGCTAGATATTATTTTTTTACCGTTTGATTGTCTGTATTGTTAGTGATATGTGATTGTGGATTGCTAGAACTTTGAATATTTCTCCGCGAAATAATTGTGAACCTTTTGTAATCATCATTCGTGAATTTGTGACTTAGTTAAAGTTTATAATATATTTGTAAACTTCTTCTTTGAGTTTGACTCTTTTTTATTCTGGTTATGTGGTCAAACAGCTCGTGCCTGAGAATTCCTCTCTCGCCGCTGGCAAGAACAGTAAAGTGCATCATTGACTGACGCGTATGAAAAACTGTCATCCCACTCTGCCGTCTCCTATATGAGTAAAAAATTACTAGTTTATTGACATCTGGATTAATACGTGTCAATAATGTGAAAACTTTCGTGAACGGTGAAACTTAATTGAAAGTGAAACTGTCCCAGTCAATATGTCTGAAGCTGGTGAAAACCCCACCGACGAAGTGAATAATGACAACGTGTGTGCGAATTCTAAATAGGCGAAAGGAAATTGAATTAAGAAGTCAATTAGAAGCCCACATCGAAACCAGCAGAATCGAAGAAGAAAAACTCAGACTTAGCCGTATACAAACGGAAATAAATTTACGTGCTAAGCTTCGAGCCGCCAATGAAATAGAGGATATGTTTGTAAAATATGCAGCTACTTCGGAAAGTGAGGTGACTTTTAAATGGTCTCAAATAAAAGAGCCTTTACATATGAAAAGGAGTCAGAAGAGATCAAACGTGTCTAGTGATAGCCTTGTGAAACCCGAAAACCCTGTGGCATGTGACCCAGAGGAAATCCATGTGCCATGGAGTGTATTTCTTCCAACCTAAATCCGGATGTGGAAAATTTCGTCCCAAAAACTAAAGAACAATCAAATTCGACACAGGATTTGGTAAGAGTGTTCCAACAGCTCGTTGAGCACCAAAAGGATCAAGTCTTGCCGGATCAATAAATTGAACCGTTTTCCGGAACGGATGTGCTTCTTTATCACACATTCATAAATAATTTTGAAGTTGTAATTGAAAATAATACAGAAGATCCCTCGAGAAGATTGCAGTTTTTGCTCAAATATACAGTAGGAGAAGCTTATGATTTAATTCAGTTTACACCATTAATCAAAGACCCGGCAGATGCCTATGCTGAGGCAAGACGTTTATTGCAACGAGATTTTGGAAACCCTCAACTGGTTGCATCATCTTTTATTTCCAAAGCTGAAACTTTTGAAAAAATTAAAAACGGTGACAAACTAGCGCTAAGAAAATTCGCTATTTTCTTAGTAAACTGTGTCAACAGTAAACAAAATAACAGTGACATGAATACCATGGACGGGAATGACTTCATAAAAATGCTTTGCAGTAAACTGCCATCTGGAATGCAGCAAAAATGGATCGCCCAATATGGAAAAATACGTGAAAATGAGAATAGAAGTGCAAATCTAACAGACTTTGAAGCCTTTGTCGGTTTTCTTTCGAGGAATGAAAATGACCCACGTGTAAGCGGTTTAGGCTATCAACAGTCTCCAAGATCTACTCAACAGTCAAGTAGTGCAAGAACCAATACTACACAGAGAAAGGCCTTTACGACTCAAGTAAAACCTGTGAGTTACAGTGAACCACCAAAGGAAAATTTGGCAGCCAACCCACCGTGTTTATATTGTGGTCAAGATACTAGACACTGTTTACTTGACTGTAGGAGGTTCTCATATCTTTCTTGTGAAGCTAAATCAGACGCCGTAAGAAAAATAGGCCTGTGCCATGGGTACCTTAACCCAGGCCACATTAAAGACACATGTAAAAATAAACAATGAGTACACTGTAAGTTTTGCACTAGATCCCACATGACGGTCATGCATGATCCTTCAAAAGATAAACCGAGTGATACAAATTCTAAAGCAAAGATGGTCACATCATCTTGCGCAATGACAAACTCTGTGCTCGACAAAAACGGTGAACGTGAACGTGAACGTGATCCTTTAATGGCGATTTTGCCAGTTAAAGTTAAAGCTCTGGCTAGTGGATATAGTATCAATACGTATCTTTTCGTGGACAATGGATTTAGTTCTGTATTTGTAACTGATGAGCTCAGTGATGCTCTGTGTATGAGAAATAAGATTGTCAATTTATCCATGAAGACTGTAAATGACGAGAAAACTGTGAAATCAGGTCATATCACTGATCCCATTCATATAAGCAATTTAAATGGAGAAAACCCATGTGAAATTAATTCAGCTTTCATAAGGGAGACAATGCCTGTTACTTTGGAAGATGCACCAACCCAAAGTGACCTTGCAAAATGGAAGCATTTACGTGACATTAAATTTCCAAAATTGTCTGGCATTTGTATTCCAAGCGTGTCGATCATGATTGGAATGGGTGTTCCATCAGCACAACACCTCTAGAAATAATAAAAGGTGAAATCGGTGAACCCTATGCAATTCGGTCGCCATTAGGACATTTATTTTATGGATTACCTGGAAAATTTGCATCTGTTAATCAGACGTCGGTTAATTTTTATCGAATTGACAGCAATCTTAAAAAACAAGTCAAAAAGTACTTTAACTTAGAATTCAGTGAAAGACTGTGTGATTAGAAACCGTGTATGTCTAAAGAAGACAAAAAGTTTATGGAAATTGTGGAAAAAACAACAGTTTTCGAAAATGGTCATTATAAAATGGATATACCCTTTCGTGATCCAACAAAGACGGTGCCAAATAATAAAGTTCAGGCGAAATTATTTACACTTTGATTACGCAAGAGATTATCTGCTGACAAAAAACTAAGTGAACAATATGTGAGTTTCATGGACAAGCTAGAGATTAACAATTATTGTGAAAGGGGCCAATCTTTGACCTTCAAAGAAATGACGGACGTGTGTGGTATTTACCACATCACCCTGTGATCAATCCTAAAAAACCGGACAAGTTCAGGTGGTTTTTAATTGCCCAGTGGAATATAAAGGTGTTTCATTAAACAATCTCATTTATCCTGGACCAAATTTAATGAATGGACTCCTAGGTGTTTTTTACGTTGGAGACAATATCCAGTGGCTATTATGGCTGATATTGAAACTTACTTTTATAGAACTCGTGTATCAGCAAAGGACACTGATAAGCTACGATTTATATGGTGGCCACGTGGCGACTTAAATGAAAAACCAGTCGAGTATCGTATGCTGGTACATATCTTTGGTTGTGTAAGTTCGCCTAGCTGCTGTAATTATGCTCTTAAACGTGTAGCTAGTGACAACGTGAACTCCATAAGTGACTCCGTGGCACAATCTATAGAGCAGGACTACTACATGGATGATCTTGTGAAATCGGTAGAAACTGAAGAAGAAGCCATTAAGCTTGGTCGGGAAATGTGTGACATTTTGAAATCATGTGGATTCAACTTAACTAAGTGGATATCAAATAGCAGGAACTTTCTTAAAACTGTGCCTCAAGCTGAATTAGTAGAATCATCTAAAACTTTAAATTTTGACATCGACGAGTTATCTACCCAGAGAGCATTGGGTGTGAAATGGTGCACAGAAACGGACAAAATTAAATTTAAAGTGAGTGAAATAAACACTAAGCCTACACGTAGAAACATTCTGTCAGTAATGAGCTCGATCTATGATCCAATAGGTTTTGCCTCACCGTTGCAAAATAATTCTACAAAATTTGTGTCGTCTTAAACTGTCATGGGATGAGACTATTCCTGAGGACTATTATAGCCAATGGAAATCGTGGCTCAGTGATTTACTCAATTTAGAACACTTCGCAATTGACAGGTGTCTAAAACCAAAATCTTTGGAGCTGCTGCGAAAATACAATTGCATCATTTTGCAGATGCTTCCGCTGAAGCTTATGCTAGTGTTTCTTATGCGAGTGGCGCCTATACGATCACATAAAATTGTGAAACTTGAGCTGTCTGCAGCTACCTCCTTAGTGAGAATCAACCATATGTTAACCCGTGAACTTTCAATTCCCGTGGATGAAGTGTATTTCTGGACTGACAGCCAGACAGTGTTAAAATATATTGCAAATGAAACCAGTCGCCATCAAGTATTCGTATCTAATCGTCTTGCCGTCATAAGAGACGGTTCTGGTCTCGATCAGTGGCATTACGTTCTGTCGAAGCTTAATCCTGCAGATCACGCGTCGCGAGGATTATCAGCTGATAGTTTGGATTTTGTGAACTGGATATCAGGCCCAAAATTTTTAATGTGTCCCTCTGACTCGTGGCCTGTTAATTCTTGTGAATATAATGTGCCTGAAAATATGTGTAATGATAAAGATATATTTGTGAATTCTATTAAGATCTCTCAATTAGCTAAAAATATCATTGATCGGTTAATGTCTCATTATTCAGAGTATATTCGATTATTACGTGGTGTATCGTGGTTAATATGCTTGAAGAATATTCTTAAATGTAAAATACAAAATCGTGATATCCCCCAAAGTTTGTGTTGTAAATCCTTATCAAATGAGGAAGTGTTAATTGCAGAGCGTGCTTTGCTTTGCTATGTGCAAAAATGTGAATTCGTGGAAGAATTTGAATCATTGGAAAGCCAGTCATCTAATGTCAAAATGAAAAGTTCTTTGGAAAATTTAAATCCATAGATTGTGAATAATCTAATCTGTGTTGGTGGACGATTGCAAAATGCATCTATTCCAGATACTGCTAAAAATCAAATAATATTGCCTAAAGGTCATATTGTGTCTCGATTAATCGTAAAAGAATGTCATAAAAAAGTCGGTCATCAGGGCAGAAATCACACTTGCTTAGATCCGTCAAAAATAGTTAAGAATGTGTTACATAATTGTGTTGTGTGTAAAAGGCTAAATTCGTGTGTCGGTCAACAGCAGATGGCTGATTTACCTACATGTAGGTTCAATCAGACCAAAAAGCATTTTCGTGCACCGGTATTGAAGGTTTATGGCTCGTTGTGGTGTACCCAAAGACTTTTATTCTGACAATGGCTCTAATTTTGTTAGTGCAAATAAAGAGATGTCAAAAAGCGTTAAAGAGTTGGATCAAGAAACATTTCGCAATCTGGGTATTCAATTCGAGTTTAATTGGAACTTTAACCCACCGACAGCGTCACACCATGGCGGTGTATGGGAAAGGATGATCAGAACAATAAGAAAAGTGCTTCAAGCAATTCTTAGTGAACAATTTCTAAAATCTAGCCAAAACGAAGAACAATTGACCTTTCCGTCGACTCCGCCCACAATAAGACTTTGACCAATCAGCTTCGATTACAGTTTCCCGCGAAATGACGTCGCGTTACTACGCTTCATCACCTTAGACAAACTTCGTGAATTTTGACATTTTGTCGTGTGTTCAAACGTCGTCAATCGTGGTTAATCATTGCTCACACGGACATCGTATCAGCAATAGCTGCTATCCAGACAGGTTAAAGGGTGGTATAGTGTGCTTCCCTTCCTGAAACAGTTAAAAAAAAAAATATGGGATGTGTCTTCTAGGCCTAATGGATAAGACTGTTGTCGAAGTCACTCCCACTAGTTAAATGTAAACAAATGTCAATTCTAACCGGTCAAGTGTGTTCCAAGGTAAGTAAATGAGTTTTTTTGGGGCCAAATAACGTTTAATTTTATGTAAACTATTCCAAGGGTAATAAAGTTTTTTTCATTTAGCCAAGTAACAATAAAATATTATGTAATCTACGCCTTTATCGTATAACACGTCGTCTGCTAACATCCACCATTTCAAGGCATTTGTCAAAACGCCGGGGGCAACCTGTGTACTGTGGTGTATGTTACTGATACTTCCTCATCTTCTTTACAAGTCTCACATTATTCCATAACATTCCTTCAGTTCATACGCTTCTCAGTTCCCATTCCGTATTGCAGAATTCGCCAACAAGGGAGGAATTTCTATCTATACCCACCCCTAGGCCTATTACTACAACCAAATGAAGGCTGCACTAGAGGCCTAGGCCTAATTCTAAGATGATTTGTCAAGGTAGGCAATTTAGGCTAGACGAGATATCTACAGGCATTATTATTTGGTTTGTTGAACTAGGCCTAATACTACTAGTAGTACTACCAGTAGTCTTAAATGTAATGCTTGAGTACTTTGTATTTCAAATGACATGTTAAATTAACTGATTTTCAGTACTTTCTGAAGCTGTCTGGACCAATAGAAAATAATCCAGAACCATATTCAGGTGATCATAATGGAAGTATAACATGACATCAAAATTAACAAGAGCTGCAGCAATAAAAAGACAGACAAATTGTTGCCAGGTAAATATACCAGCTTGTTAACTACTTTAATAATTTTATTATCAAATCAAGGGTTCACAAGGGACATTAATACAGATCATACAAAGATAGAAAAGTGTTACTCCCATTTTCTTGTCAATACTAGGCCTAATCTTTCCAAATAAATTTTTCCACTGAAAATTTGTTGTTTTGTCTTGCTAGTCATATTAAGGCGAAATTTCAGGGTAAATATTCATCATTTCATGACACAAATTTGTTGGGGTTCATTGAAAAACTCTGATATGAAATAGCATGTTTTGATTTTTTGATGCTGGTGTCATTTAAAGGGCCAATCCCGATAATATTTTGGAGAATAAAACTGCTTAATTTTGTGTTAAAATCCCTTAAAATCCTCTACCTTAGGGCCGAGCAACTAACTCAACATATGAGATACGTTTACAAACAACTTAAACCTGTCAGTCTTATCTGGAAATGGAGACCGGTGTCTGGATAAAACCAGATTTTTATTTTATAAAAATAATGTGTAGGTGAAATTTACCTTTCGTTATCAAGTAGAGCACATGGGTCATTTATTGTATAGACCTCTGACGGAACGGGAATCGATTATTAGGCCATCCAACGAAAAAATTGACCCGAAATCTTAAAAGGGTTACGTGTCTGGTTAAGCAGTTTTGACGTTCACGCCCAAACGACTCAATATTTTGAGCTGAAATTTTGAGACAAGGTAAATACACCATTCCTCTATATTTTGGCGCTTAAATTTCATATGTACTCAGACTTTCATTATTGAGACTCTGTTCAAATCGGGACAGTCCCTTTAAGTGGAATCATACTGCAGTTTCAGTGGATAAGCTTACATCTTGTACATATTATTATTACTTTAGGCCTATATAGACACACCACATTATTAATTATGTATTAATCAGTCTTTAAGCTTATTACTTCTTTATTCTTTTACAGCTACATTCCTGAAGAAGAAAAAAAAATACCAAGAATTAACAAAAAATGTACAAGAAATTTAACATGTGATTTCAAAATTTCACTCTCTGCAAAGTCTGCCGCCCTTTGATTCAGAACATACATTGTAAAACTGTTTTCATAATTATATCTAGTCATTTAGATGTAGCCTAAACACTGTACATGTATTTTTAAATAAATAGTATTACTTACCGGTATCTACAATCTTGAATTGTATTCTTTCATGAAATATCAAAATGGTTGTGTTGATGCTAGGGTGGCCCATGCACCTACAGAAATACAGTCAATTGCTGATAGTTCGAGACTACCACTGAAGCATGCACATTCGCCGTGTCGAGGCCAACTTTCTGACAGTATGATACTATAAATAGCCATGGCACGTGCAATTCTCTACAAATCTATCAACTATTACAGCCGTAAAAAATTTATTGTTGACGATTTTGAATAGCAGTAAAATTAAGCTTCTTGGTTATTACAGCAGATTTAGAAATTACGTTCGATTCATTTTTTAAATCGCTTTATCATTAACTGTACCGTTCAGAGCAGCATCTTTTTGGTTTAGTACAAATAATATCTCTGAAGCACTCGGGTTAGACAGGAACATGATACTAGCAGTAGTTTCATTTTACTTTTACAAGCTTCTTAAAACAATTGTTGAGCTAGCTAACGTGCTCATTTCTAAATTCAATTTCTTGTTCTAGCTTTCTGTTATGTTTCGTAAAAAAGTAGTCTTGATTATCCCGACCTGTCAATCAGCCCTTGAATGGTCGATAGACTGGTTAAGCGAGACTAATTTCAAAACAAGGGCACGTAACCTATTTTTTACTCAAGAGTGTCTGGATGTTATGGACGACACATGGAACCAGTTTTCAGTCTATTATTTATAGATGATTAATGGTCATAGCTTATTAAGTACAACATGATCGTTTATTTAGTGACTATAATTGTGTGAAACTGATTTGAGGCTTGGCATATATATAAATATTGTGGCGAAATTGTCGAGATATATGGAGATATTTATTTATGGTGGGTCACCCTATCGATGCGGTTTACTACAACATGATCAATCTTGTCACCTCTTAGTCTTAGCGTTTCTTCATGGTTGTGTTAGGGAGTGCAATCACAAGCCCGACGGCAAGGGAGCAGTAGCCACACATCCTACAAATTATAAATCATCATGATAAAAAGAAAATCTCGCCATGTTTTCTCTATTTTACTAGTTGAAAGAAACATAATATGGGTTGGCCTGGCCTACTATAGACATACCGAACCACTTATAAAACGTGTATATATTCGCGGCCTAAAGTTTTTGTATTTCACTATATAGTTGAAAGTATTACAAGTCACGACAGTAACGTAACTAGTACTACTAGTTTACTGGGCCTTATAGGCCTTGCAACCTACAGAATTACCCATATAGCCAAACTTGGTTTTCTCTAAATTTATATCAAATCCAGACCAGACTATGCTAAACAACTATGATGATCCTAAAGTTGCAGAACCGCAGAATGTCATACGTTATGATACAGTATTTATAATTGTATGTACCCCCCCCCCCTTCCTCATTACGCTTCACACTCACTTTTATTCCTAAACCATTCTTACATTTATCGACATAAGTGATAATAAACAAGTAGAATTTGCTTACCCAGTCTGGCAGCAACAATTCTAGTCTGTTACTTCCTTTAAACGAAATAAATATGGTTTCTCGTTCTATGATCTTTCTCTTCAACTTGCCAGTTCGGACTTTATCAGATTCAGTGACACATTGATTGATGCTTGATCTGTCAATCTCCTAAAACAGGTTCGCGTGAGGGAAATATCCTTCATTATAGTACCTGGGGCACCGCTTCTTTACTTCAAAAAAATTAACAGAAAAGTTCAAAAGATTGGCACAAGATTGAACGTCGTTCAGCCATCGCCATGCTTGTTTATGTCTAAGGCGCGTCAATGTTGTCAAAGGTGACGTCATTATAAAAAGTGGGAGGAGCTACACGTCTCTGACGGAAAGGTCAATTACCTACACTTATGTGCGAGGTCGAGTCTATCATAAATTCTAGGCCTTTAACTCGGGTATCAGAAGACCCAAAGGACTTAAGTGTAATAACACCGAACTCTCTGTTTTTATTAGAACCGGTCGTGTCGTATCCTCCTGGACTATTTTGTGATCGTGACATTTACGCCAAACGACGCTGGCGGCAAATGCAATATTTAGCAGACTTATTCTGGAAGAGGTGGACTATAGAATACCTTCCGTTACTTCAGCAACGTCAGAAATGGTTGCAGCCAAAACGTAACTTTCAAGTCGGTGATGTTGCTTTAATCGTGGACGATAATAGTCCAAGGTGGTCATGGCCCTTGGGGTTAATTCTCGAAACTTATCCTAACAAGAATGGCCTTGTAAGGAGCATGAAATTGAGAACCCAGTTTAACACTTATCTTTTGTGTTCTGATAAGGTAGGGGCCGGGATGTAATGTCCAATTACGCATCTTTTAATCTAGCAGACGAAATATTACATGCAAGGGAGCTTTTAGAAAGTCTGGATGTACTTGTCTTCATTAGTATACTATAAATTTATGTTAGGTTAATCAAGTCTACTAAAGCTTTAGTGTTGCCTAGCAACTTCACTTCTGCAGGGTGTTGGTTGCAGGTGACAATAAAGTTTGATGGAGAGTGGGCTAGATATTAATTTTTTACCGTTTGATTGTCTGTATTGTTAGTGATATGTGATTGTGGATTGCTAGAACTGTGAATATTTCTCCGCGAAATAATTGTGAACCTTTTGTAATCATCATTCGTGAATTTGTGACTTAGTTAAAGTTTATAATATATTTGTAAACTTCTTCTTTGAGTTTGACTCTTTTTTATTCTGGTTATGTGGTCAAACAGCTCGTGCCTGGGAATTACAAAATAAACATTTTACTATTGGTACACGAATCGTGTACCATAATGCGCTTCAACCCCAGTTGTATCAAGAGACTCGAGGGACGAGGCTAGACACATTGCACCAAATCAAACGGCGTATGCAGACTGGAATAACCAGACGCTAGAAATTTGCACTCGCTTGAGACTGCTGGCTTATTTCGCCGAACATAACTGATTTGAAATTGGAGTAAAAACGGAAACCATTGAATGTAAATCAGTTTATATACATTCATACTACAGTATTATATGTGTTGTGACCTACTTTTGTCAATTTCTAGGTCCCAAATGTTAGCGATTTAGATCCTTCAAGTGGTCAAATACCTTTATCTTTAATGTCAAGGATTGATCAAATTTGGTTTGTTTGTTGCTTTTTAACCAATTTTATGCCACCCTGTATTAAAGACAAAGATGCTGAAGAATAATATGCTAATTACTTACATGAGTTGACAATCCACTGCCAATACTAAAGGCGCCAATATGTGTATTTATAAATTTATTAGTATCACTAGGTGGTGAAGAGACCAGGTAACTTATAGGACAACCTTTTAAAGACTGTAGATGCTGAATATCTTCTGTTTCAACTTGAAGTAATCTGAAATTTTCAATAATAGAATTAACATGAAATTTACTGGTATTTGAGTTTTGTTTTTATTTATCAACAATCTTCAATTTAAAAGTTAGTCTGTTAACTTTTTGAATCACAACATACATTGTATTGTAAAACTCTTTTCATAATTGTATCTAGTCATTTGACTCATTATTTATTTGTAAACATGTATTTAATTAAAAGAAATTTCATTTTTAATACTTCTGAATTTTACTTACCTACAATCTTGGAGCGTATTCTGAACATGTTTTCTTTTGCAAACTGGCTTTGGATTAATTAATAAACTGGATGTTGGTTACTGCTGCAGGATCAATTTTTTCACCTCTTGGCTTTCCCCAATGTTGTGGTAGTGATGTACATGAAAGGTGTGCAGGGACATTACTAAATCCCATCAGTTGCCACTGTTGAAGACGATCACAAGCCCGACAACATGGGAGCAAGAGCCACACATCAGTGATGGGATTTTGCCCGTATATTCTGGACATGTCCGACGCTATTTTCCAAACGTCCTAAATTGTCCAACCAGGAATATGAAATCTCGCAAGACACGTGGAATTAAGAGGTGTAAACGTGCCGAATCTAATAAACCTGATGTCGGGACAAAAGATTCTATTTTGATGGCATATTGTCGGATTTATGATCATATTTTGAATGGGTTTATGTTTTTAAATAAATAAATAAACACGCTAAGAAATGTTGACGAATATTTCGATTGGAATAACGTAAGTAGTTACAGTAATTGTTTTAGACGATAGCGCGTGCTTAGAGTAGAATGGGATTATTTAGCAGTTGGTGTCACTCGCTCGTTTTATTAGAATGACATTTACTACGGTTTACGGCCAAATAAATTTCAGGATGTCATTCATTTTTTTACCTTCCGTGGCCGTATATAAATCGAAACGGAGTAAAAGTCTAATGCCGGACTTTGCTGAAAAATATATCGACTTATGACCCGAAAAATACGGTAATTTGGGGGGAATTCGAAACCTGTACGGATGGGCAGTAGTCGGCACGCTTTCATTCTATGGTATTACGATGTCATGTAATTTTGTAGGAATATTAGTGACATAATTTTGAATACCGTACGGGAATTAAATATGAAAAATAACGAGGTGCATCTATTTGTATTATTAAGAATGAATTTGAATGTTTTGTTGACACGTGATTCTTAATTGTGGTTTCAAAACGCCTGCTTAAAGAACGATAAGAGTTATGTCCCTTTATTTTCGGGAAGAAAATGTCCGACAACTAAAATTTTGAAATCGCATCACTGCCACACATCCTACAAATTAAATAATAATGTTAAAACAAATTTAAGAGGCTATTCCATGCAGGAACATTTTAGCCTATAGGGCATAGGCCCATTCAGAACAGCTGTTAAGGCCTACATAGGCTGCCCCAGACCCAGGTAACAAAATTTGTGTATTTTTACTGCCTATGCTTTGGTACTTTTTAGCTAGACTAATAGAAATAGTAACAGTAAATGCCAACTAGGCCTACCATAGTAATAACGTCAACACTACAGCTCTGTGTTCAGGATGATCTATTAGTATTAGTAGTAGTAGTACTACTACTAGGGCTAGGCTAGGCCTCATTTAAATCATTTAGGCCTTGGAATCTACAGCAGTAAATATAAATATAGCCAACCTTGGTTTTCTCCAAATTTATATCAAATCCAGACCAGACGGAGCCTAGACAACAAAGCTGATCCTTATAATAAATATAGACAGTTGCTGTCATATCTGTGCGTACTCCTTTCCTGTGTTAGTGTTACGTCCTATGCTTCACAGGCAGAAAATTTTAAAAACCATGCATCCTGACTATCGGCCTAAGTGACAGTAAATAAGTAGAGTTTTCTTACCCAGCCTGGCAGGAACAGTGAATATCTGACACTTCTTTTGGAGACACGTCTAAGTGCACTGAATGGGGTTTCTCATTCTTTCGCTGACTCCGATAACACTTGGCCGATACATTGATGGTTGATGGTCACTAGCCCAAAAAAAGTTTTACATCAATGAAATAACCTTCGTTAAACAATCTAAAGCCCTGCTGCCTTGATTTTAAACTCACATCACACTTTTCTTTCAAATATTCAACAGACAAATCAGCAGGAAGGTCTAACAGATTGGCACAGGATGAAACAACGTCTGTCATCGCCATGTTTGTTTATGTCTAAAGCGCGTCAGTGTTGTCTAAGGTGACGTCATTATAAAAAGTGGAAGGAGCTACGGGTCCTTGACGGAAAGGTCAATTGAGATAGAATGTTTAGATTTGATGTAGAAGTTCATTAGGTGAATGTCTTGACTGAGTTCAATGATTAACATTTCGAGCTGAAGCTAAGCCAAGCTAATCAATTTCATTGGTCAATGCTTTGGGACAAGATAATCTTGATTCTATCTGATAGAGAGTGATGAAACTTAGTGTATAGTTTGATTGCTTGATACTTTTGAAAATAAATGTGCGATTAATTAATGTGTGTCATCTATTTATTTTGGGATTTCGGCGGGAGACATCAGCTTGTTGGCTTGTTACTGCCAGAGTTATGGCCCTTGATCTCTTCAAAAAATCTTGTAAATGCTCTATAGGCTCAAGTTAATATCTGATTGACTTTAAATTGATACTCAGTGTTTGAGGTCATGAGACTAAGAATCATATTGATTTTCAACGATTTCCGATAATTACTGCCAAAGTTATGGCCCTTGATCACTTTGAAAAATCTTGTGACGCTCTAGAGGCTAAAGTTATCATCCGATTGACTTCAGATTGATACACAGAGTTTAAGGTCTTGAGACGAACAAGTATATTGATATTCAATGAATTTTTATGAATTGAACAGCTAAATCCATGATGTTAAAAGTTTCGTATACTAAACGTTAGCATAGGGCAGAACTTTATAAAAACAAACAAATTCTAATGGTTTTCTGATAATTACTTAATGAGTTGTTACACTTAATCAGATTTTAATGTATTATAAATGTTTCATTACCGAAAAAAGTATATTGATATTCAATGAATTTTTATGACTTGGAACAGCTAAATCCATGATGTTAAAAGTTTGGTATACTAAACGTTAGCATAGGGCAGAACTTTATAAAAACAAACAAATTCTAATGGTTTTCTGATAATTACTTAATGAGTTGTTACACTTAATCAGATTTTAATGTATTATAAATGTTTCATTACCGAAAAAAGTAAAAATATGTGACTGCTCTTGTTGACTGCCTGGACGATTTAGCTGCTGTGGGTGTACGTTTCGTTACCTGGCAACCTATCTTTATACAAGGAAATGTGGTGGTATACTATTTTTCGCCCCCATCTCTCCATCCGTCCACAATTTCATGTGAACACTCTATAAAGACTATATTTATTATCCAATCTTTTTAAAATTCATATATATTGATTAGATTAGTAAAACTAAGTAACCTAGTTCTTGTGAACACTCTACAGACTACATTTATTATCTAATCTTAAGTTTCTATATGTTGATTCAAACCTGGGTTCCAGTCATGAATCCAGTGCCCTGACTGCTCAATTTCCCCCCCCCCAAAGGGCACCCCCAACTGAGAATGTCCATAAGCTAATTAATAAAGTCCACATGGTGACTTGACAATATGATTGTATTTTTAAGGGTGCTCTTCCATTTGATGATGATAATTTAAGGCAGCTACTAGAAAAGGTGAAAAAGGGAGTGTTTCATATTCCTCATTTTGTACCCCCTGATTGTCAAAATTTATTACGAGGCATGGTTGAAGTAGATCCAGATAAACGCTTAACTGTGAGTATTAATGTAAATTGTTTCAATGGCATTTAGTAATTGAACTGGAGTATACAGGTTACAATTCTATGGAATACAATTACTGCTTATAAGCAGTAATTGTATTCCATAGAATTTTGACCTGTATGGTATTAATCCGTTCTACTCCACAATACCCTGGGTTAATCCATAGGGTTTCCACGATTACAAATTATCTGCCGTGGCCTTGATTGTAGCTATGGTCTACGAACCAATCAAAGAACAGTTAAAGGGACTAACCCGATTTGAACAGTCTCAAGAATAAAAGTCTGAGTACGTATGAAATTTAAGTTCCAAAATATATTGGAATGGTGTATTTACCTTGTCTCAAAATTTCAGCTCAAAATATTGAGTCGTTTGGACGTGAACTTCAAAACTGCTTATCCGGACACGTAACCCTTTTAAGATTTCGGGTCAATTTTTTCGTTGGGTGACCCGATAATCGAATCCCATTCCTTTAGAGGTCTATACAATGAGTAACCAACGTGCTGTACTCGATAACGAAAGGTAAATTTCACCTACACATTATTTTTATAAAATAAAAGTCTGGTTTTATCCAGACACCGCATAATACAGCTCGGGACACCAGTCTCCATTTCCAGATGAAGACTGACGGGTTTAAGTTGTTTGAAAACGTAGTACATATATTGAGTTAGTTGCTCGGCCCTAAGGCAGGGGATTTTAAGAGTGTTTAACACAAAATTAAGCAGTTTTATTCTCCAAAATATTATTGGGATTGGCCCTTTAATAGTCCTGTCGTTTCGCCTTCAATTTAATAAGGGTAGATATCCATATTCATGTCCATTTACTGAATGATTTATGTAAATAATGTATATATTTCTAATTCATTTATATGTAATTGTATTATCAAAATCTGTAGTATGTTTCACTGATTTCAAATATGCATAACATCTATACGTTTGACTTTTGTTATTATTATTACTATTCGTTCTTTGTCTGAAATGTTTCATTCTGTTATGTTTATTATTATAGAACTTATACTTTGCAATTTGTCTGCGATATCACCTCGGTGGATGCGGACGTAAATACAATAACTTGACAACGATATCACGTGGACATGATCGATTCACAATAAAACTCTTGAACCTACATAAACGCCCGGTCTTCATTAATATAATAATTTATAATTTGTTGTTAATAAATATGCATTTAGTATAATTTGGACTTCTCTCATTTAGGCTAACTACTAACCTTGTCCGATGAGAGTTACTTCCCTTTGCCAACTTCCTTTTCAATTAATGATTTATGGGATTGGTTGATAAAAATAGCACAATTATCAAGGGCGGATAACTTGAAAATGTGTCCTTCCCATAGATTAACCCAGGGGTTAGTGGAGTAGAACGGAATGAAACCACTGGGGATACCAAGGATGAGTATTAATGTACATGGTTTGTATATTAAAATATCTTCATTATGTTTCTGAAATGCTGAATAATTATTGTGACCCGTCATGGCATAATGAGTTGCAATGAAGAAATTTTGAAAATTGTTATTGTCACATTCTCCAACTCATTACCTTCAATTTGATGTATAGTTTGTTTGAATCGGGCAAACATTGACTGAGCTGTGTCCATTTGAAGCTACCCAACTCACAAAGTAAGTTTTGAGAAAAAGCAAGTCAAAGATTTGATATGTTCCAAACAAAATCCCATAGCAACCAGGCCATTTTATTTGCTTTTTTTTCGTTGAATATATCTTTCCAGGGATTTTCAGGGGTGCTGAAGACGAAAATCACAGTAAAAATTTGATCTGACGATTTCCGCTATTTATTTGCTATATTTTTGTTTAATATTTTTATACGTTCGAACTTCTGACGTGGGTTCGAATCCCACTTCTGACACCATGTTGTGTTAGTGCTGCCCATGATGGCTACCGATAGATGATACTATGAATGTAGACTTCTAGATTGACGTTTATTTAGCCTCGTGTACCATCCGATTGCCTTTTTTTTATTAACAAGTAATAATTACCCCGTTGTAATTTAGTCAAAAGTAGATTGATTTATGATACCATATAAGTGGTGGATTCATTGTTTTACCAATCGGCTAGATTAAATGTCTGTCGGCTAAAGCTGACAAAATACAGCCGATACGGACCGACATTCAATAGTCGGACTCGACAATTCTCCGAGATTTTTTTTTTTTTTTTTTATTTAGAAAAATTTTACGCGAAACCTTGTAGATTCGCAACATAAGCTCTTGCGAGAATCCTTGCCTGAATAAGATTCGGAGATTCGCGTGAATTTCTAGCCCTGATATGCGCTTGACCTACTTTAACCATGACATACACATGTACCAATCATCTTGAACCGATTCACTATCTTGAGCAAGTTTATCTATAGCTCCAAGAAATCCACCTTCCTCTGTGTCGTCGTCGCCCTGAACAGCATTAACCACTTTTCCGTTTGATTGTGACCTTGACATACATACTGAGCTGTAGTGACCTTTGATATGACAGTTATTACAATAAACACGTTTCGCTGGACAAAATCTTCTAGCGTGTCCCTCTTTTCAACAATATTTACATTTACTACCATTACTATCATTATTATCATTATTATACATTTGACCCTGATCTGGCTTCCTATGATTATTATACTGAGCATTTGATCGTCCAACGGTTGATTTCTTATTATTATATGAAAATTGAAAACCCCTGTTTACATTGGTACTGTTTACCACCATAACCGTGATCAGCTTTAACCTGATGGATTTCGTTCATCTACCACAGATTTCTCTTGTTGTAAACTCCTATTCTGTTGATTACTGACTTCAGCAGCTCTACAAAATTCCACAGCGTTTCTAAGAGTATGTTCTGGTTTCATTTAAAGGTCTCTACCACATACAATACGGTCTCTAATGAGCAAATCAACAAGTGCACCAAATTCACATTCTTTTGAGAGGTTACAGATAGCCAGATAGAACGAATCAAAAGTTTCAGAATTTTCTTGATTCCTGGTATTAAACTGATGTCTATCGAAAGTAATATTCTTCCGAGGAATACAATATTCTTCATTCTTCTGCAATATGTCGTCCAAATCATCTTAATTTTTGCCGTCGCCCCACTGAAATCCATCATAGACTTTGACAGCTGGCTGACCAATAACATGGAGAAGAATGCTAGCCTTGACCTTTGACGATTTACTGTCTAACCCAGATGTGGCTAGGTAAATTTTAAATCCCTGTTTGAACTGTTTAAAATTGGCTGCTAGATTACCCTCGAGGTATAGACATGCCGGTGGAGGTAAGTTATGCATGATGAATCAAATCTATGAGCTTAAGAGCCATTCCAAGAGAAAACCATGCAATATCAGGCAGATGTTCGAAGGTGGGGGTCGGCCGATTAAGTTCATACTCACAGGGTTTGGTCGACCCATCGAGCCTACGCCCAAGCCAAAATCGCCGATTTCAGAAATCCCGGTTTCTGAGATACATGCCGATTACGTTTTTCTGCTGATTTTTGTCATTTTTAGGCCAAATTTTAGCTATTTTTGTCGCACTACTACCGCTGTTGCATGACCCTGGCGAACTAGGTTTTGGTTGTTGGTGATAGTCGGGGTCTTACCCTATCGCATTATTATGGTCACCCGGTTCAAGTTCATTTGCCATAGGTGTCAGGAGACTACACAAGATACGTGTCTGGAGATACCTGAAATGTACCCTATCTTCAGATCGCAATAACTCCACTGGAGCAGGGTTTGCAGCTTGACCAGTTCTAACAACATAAGAAATAAAATCGTTGTCAACTAACTTGCAAAAGTATGAAAATTTGTGTCGGAAGTTACCAAAAACTTTAGTTTTGATTGGGATACATCGGCGGATTATTCAAGTACCCAATCGCCAATATTGTTATTCAAAGTGTCAATATATCAACTCCGGCTCCCCTTCAACCCGCTTTGCCAAAATATTCAGTCTCGGTGTGGTTTGGTATCCAATCTACAAATCCAAGATGGCGTCTCCCAGTGAATATGGATTTTCACAAATTCTCGATTTAGAATGTCGATCCTGATTATTTAAACATATTTTTTCTATGAAAAATGAGAAATTTCAATTCAAAATTTTGAAAAACAGTCGAGTTAGAGCAGATGAAAGTCGACAATTATGCAAAACAGACCCAATTTCCATGAAAATTGCCTATTTAGTCTTCACCGTGACCTTCAATCGCGAGATCATCAGGGATACAATTTGAAGTTCACACGTTGCTCTATCAACAAACCATATCTTATTCGAAAATATTGAAAAACAAATGAGTTGGGATTTCAAAAATTTTCTTGTCCAACATTTTACCGAAAATAAAAGGGTATAACTCTTATCGTTATTTAAGCAGACGGGTTCATACCACAATTGAAAATCACGTGTCAACAAAATATTCAAATCCGCAAGTAATAAAAATAGGAACACCTCGCTATTTTTGTACGCCCACATTCTTGTGTGGATGTATATTGTCGTCGCCCCTGTCCGCCCGTCCGTCAACAATTTGTTTATGGGCACTCTACAGGTCACAATTTTTATCCATTTTCAACAAAACTTGAAATATAGGTTTATTTCCCTAAGAATTTGACTCCTGTCGATATTGGTATGTATCGGACCGTAACTTCATGGACTATGGCCCCTGAACTTATGAAAAATCACGTTTTTAGCTTGTGGACACTGCACATGGAGGTTACAATTTTTATCCGATTTTGATGAAACTAAAAAGGTACGTTTATAACCCAATGAACTCGGTTCCTTTCGATATTCTCGCATATCGGATATTAACTTCCTGGATTATGGCCCATGATTGTACAAAAAGTCGCATTTTTAGTATGTAGCCCCTCTAGAGGTCACATTTTTTTTTCAATTTTTAAAAACGCAAATGATGGCGGAGTTCGAATTTCGTGAAAATCGGATCGAAACTGCCGGACAAAATGGCCGCTCCTCGTACGCAAATAGTTGTGGACACCCTCGAGGTCACACTTTATA